ATGCCAGATCCTTGTTCCATGGCTAAGGATGCTGGGATGTGCCGTGGTTATGTCTTGAAGTGGTTCTATCATCGGGACCAGCGCACCTGCCAGAAGTTCTGGTTTGGTGGTTGTGGTGGCAACCAAAACCGATTTGAAACCAGGCAAGACTGTGAGTCCCGGTGTGTCCTGTTAGCCTAGACATGAGAGAGCCATCCAAGTCCTCAATGCTGGGCAGAGGCTACTGAAATTCAAACGGCAGGTTTCAAATGAAGTCAGTGTATGAGGATGGGTTTCTAAATAAATATCTGTTGTATTTAAGTGAAAAAAATACAGAAAGGTGTACTTGTCTAATAACTCCTCATATTTGTTTGAGCAATTTAAAGTTCCTGAAGCACATTTATATATGTTCAATTCACAAAACATTCAGTGTACGCACAAACACTGACTTAGGTGCTAAGAGAAGATTTAAGTTTAGAGAAGGTCTTACCCCTGCTCTCGCTGAGCCTGAAGTCTAGGAGGCAGATATGAAACAAACATTAATCGTTATAATACAAAATAAAGCAGTCATTCTTATTTCCTCATCAAAACAGCCCTATGAGAGAGGCAGGGCATGCATTTTTTAGGTCCATTTTATAGGCACAGAAACCAGGCTTTGCCTAAATGACTTGCCCAAGGTCAAACACCTTGTAAGCAGAAGAGCTGGAACTGTAATTTGGGTCCTTTACCTTCCCATTCACCGCTCACCACTAGACTTTACTGCTGTTTATTGGTCCTGCTGATTTAGTCCTTGCAGAAATGGATATATGAATTAAAATGCATAAAAAGCAGTGAAAAAAGACACTTGATATCTAAAAAATTGCACGTTTCATATACATAGACATACCCCAGAAAACTAAAGGAAAATAAATAAAACTATTCCAAGCAGTTCAGCCTCATTAGAAGATGAGTTAGAAAATATTTTTTATGTCTAACAACTCAAGCCCTAAGCTGTTTCATTCAAATATGACTCCATGATAATGAATGATGTCTTGAATGTGAAGCTTCTTCTTAAAATTTGACATGAAAATGAGTTCATTCTTCATGAAATCTTATGATATGGACTTACTTATATCTACTCATTGTAGTTTGGGATGGTTTTTGTGAATGTAACAGTTGATGGAGTGACAATACCATTTCACAGTGACACAAAGTCCTTGAGTTCAAAGGGACCTCAGGTCACCACATTTAAGCTAACCTGTACCTACCTGAGAATGCCCTTTGTGACCTCTTCCCCAAGTGAAGTCCTCTGGAAGACCTCTACTGACAGGTATCCAGTATCTCCCAAGGAAGTCATTTCTACTTTTGGATCATTCTGATTGTTCGGAAGATTTTCCTTTTTTCCATCTGAAATTTGCATTTCTTCGAATGGTTCCTAGTTGTAGTTTCTGGGACCAAGAACAAGTCTAATCTCTATTTCTTTTTTTTCTAATCTCTATTTCTAATAATAATTAATAATAGTTAGCATTTATGTTGTTGTTCAGTCATTTTTCAGTCATGTCTGACTCTTTGTGACCCCATTTGGGATTTTCTTGGCAAAGATATTGGGGTGGTTTGCCATTTCCTTCTCCAGCTCGTTTTACGGGTGAAGAAAATGAGGCAAATGGTAAAATGACTTGCTCAGGATCATGCAGCTGATAAGTGTCTGAGGCCAGATTTGAACTCACAAAGGTGAGTCTTCCTGACTTCCAGGCCTGGCACTCTAGCCACTGTGCCACCTAACTGCCTGTTAGCACTTACATAGTGCTTTAAAGTTTATGAGGACTTTTACATGTTATCTTACTTGATCCTCCCAACAATCCTGTGAAATAGATGTAACTATTATGTCCATTTTACAGATGAGGAAATAGAGGCTGATAGAGATGATATGCTCACCTCCGGTCACAAAACTAGTTAAATGTTGGAGACAGAACTTGAACTCAGGTCTTTCTGACTCCATCCAACATTCAAACCACTACACCACCTTGCTGTCCATTGAATATTTCAAGTCCACTGCTATCTTCTCCCAATCTCATTCTTTTTTTCCAGGTTAACTATCCCATTTTTCCAACTGATTCTTATATGATCTGAGCTCCTTGAGAATAGGAAGTATTTTTTTCATCTTTCTTTGTATCCCCAGCCCTCCGTAGGTAATTCATAATTGCCTGTTGCCTTGTGGACTTCACCCTCCTGGTCACCCTTCTCTAGATGTCTGTCATTGTTTTTCGGGGATCACTGTACGACCAGCAATCCCAGCAGTCCGTTCTATACCTACTTGGGGCTAGAGTTCATCTGTCCTTGGTGACTCAGACTCATGGAGACCGCTCCCTTCTTGACCCTTTACCTCTCTTAGGTGGCAAGTCCCTGGTAGTCGTTTTTGTTGTTTTCATCTTGGCAATCTCAGCTCATTCTGGGCTCTAAGACTTTTCTCAAAGGAACATGTCACACCGTTGTATTTGTCACCTGCACTTGCTTTCCTCTTCTGTACATGTCTTTTAAAAATCTAGGTTAGTCCCTCTGTAAAGAATCACTTTGTCTGACACATACAGTCCTAGAGTTGCTTAGAGCAGGGGTATCAAACTCAAGCCGAAACAGGGGCCACTCAGCCATCCCTATGGATTCCTGCAGGCCACACGTTGACTTAGAAAACCATATGTGAACATTATCTATGTCCTGTTGTATTGTATCTGTTTTGTTACATATTTCCCAATCACAAATTTAATCATAGAGGAAGAAGGGAATAAGCATTTCTATAGCATCTATTATGTGAGAGGCACTGTGCTAAGCATTTTATAAGTGTTATCTCCTATAGTCAAATGTACTTCCAAAATCTTATTTTTAATCTCTGCTTCCATCAGCACGAATGCCAAGGAGTCAATTTTTAATCACAGGATTAACTATAGCTGGTAGAATAATGCTGCAGTGGAAAGAAGAAAAATAACATAAAATTTGCCTCTCCAGAGACAGTGTGGCATAGTGGACAGAGGGTTAACCTTGGAATTAGGAGGGCCTAGGTTCAAGTCCTGTTCTCTGACACATATTGGCTAGATGACCCTAGGCAAGTCACTTAACTTCTCAAGCAACTATTTATGACTATAAATTACTCACAATACCTCTTCCTCTACCAAAAAAAAGCTGGAAAAAAAATCCAAAATTTTTTTTAGTTTTTAGGATTATTGTTAAAAAAACTTTGTAAACCTGAAATTACTACATTATGAGTTGTGATCCTCCTCCTCTTCCTCCTCATTATCATTATATTGTATTTCCCTCATCTCTCAGATGAGGAGTATGGACTGGACAATCTCCAAAGTCTTTTCCAGTCTGAAATTTTATGGATTCATAATAAGAAGACCGATTGTCTTTTTTTTTTTTTTTTGGCTAGGCAATGGGGTTAAGTGACTTGCCCAAGGTCACCCAGCTAGTAAGTGTTACGTGTCTGAGGCCAGATTTGAACTCAGGTCCGGTCCTCCTGACTTCAGGGCTGGTACTCTATCCACTGCGCCACCTAGCTGCCCCTGACCGATTGTCTTTAGACTTTTGTTTGCACTGCAGGAATGCAAGGCAGCATAGTGCTGGGGAAAGGCCACTGGATTTGGGGTCTGAGGCTCAGGGTTCACGTCTGTTGTCTGTCCGTTTCTGCCTGTGTGACGAGGGGCAGCTCACTTTACTTTCCCAGGCCTCGTTTTCATCATCCATAAAGTGACAGGGTTGAACTCAATGCTCTATAAGGCTTTTTCTCCCCCTTGAGCAGTGATTCATTCCTTTTGTGAAATGAAAGGAGCACAGATGGGAACTGGTTTTGAGAGAGAGGAACACTTCTCTCTGCCACTGGCCTGGTGGCAGAGCTGTCCTTGGGGGTCCCTAACGATGGCCAGAAGTGCTCAGTGAGTTCTTGGGAGTTCTGATAAAATGTAGCTTGGGGCCGTTTCTAAATGCTGCTCAGACCCTGCTGAGAAGGAGTGAAGCTGATGGCTCCTGAAAGGCCAGGGCATGTGCCAAAGGAGACAGATGGGTCAGTCCACAAGCATTCATGAAGCACTTACTGTGTGCCAGGCAATACCAATAAACTGAGCAGTCAGTCAGCTAACAAGTCAATCAAGAAGCATTTATCAAGTGCCTACTGTGTGCAAAGCACTGAGCTCAATGCTGGGGATCCAAATGCAGAAATGAAAGTCTCTGTTTTCAGGGAACTTCCATTCTAATGGGGGCAGCAACATGTCTGTGTGCGAATTTACACAAAATAAATACAAGGCAGAGGAATCTGAGTCACTTTTGCACCTAAGGATGCTCCCAAGATGTCTGTCCTGGGGTCCGGTTTTGAGTGTTTTTAAGAGATGTGTTTGAGTGTTGTAGCCAGTGTCAAGGTTGGGGTGAGGGCCTGTGAGGCTCCTTGAGGAATTATCATATGACCTGTGACTTTCGTACTCCCATTTTGTTTTCTCTGTGGGACATCCCCAGTAGTCCTCGTGGGAACTAGAGAGAGAGGAGGGGTGAGGGAAGGGCAGAGAGGGGGAGGGGGAGAGGGAGAGGGAGAGAAAAAGAGAGAGAGAAAGATTGCTTTAAAGATCATCCAATCTAATTATCCAATTTGACAGATGAGAGGCATTTATGGGAAGAGGAGAGGAAGAATTAAGAGATGATTATTTCTCAAAGTCTTCTTTGTTAGGAGTTCAAAAAAGACCAGATGGGAACACATTTTACAAAACAGTGTTGGGCTGGATCTTACCATTGCTTCCCAGCTGTGCACATGGCCTGTAGGAAAGTGATGTCCATAGCTTTGGACCCTGATCGTGTAATGTATCTTGAACCTTTTTCCCCAGCTCTAGAAGGATGAGTAGAAAGCAATCACCACTCTAAATATCAAATACCTCAAACACCATGATAACAAAAATTTCTAGCCTAAGAATTGGAAATTAAGGGTCTACTCATCAGTTGTGGAACAGATGAACAGGTTGTGGTATATGATTGTGGTGGAGTACTATTGTGCTATGGGAAATGATAAGGAGGGTGGCTTCAGAAAAAACATGGTAAGACCTATATGAACTGATGCAAAGTAAAGTGAGAAGAACTGGGAGATCATTGTGCATAGTTATGGCCATGTTGTAATGATGACCAACCGTGAAACTTGGCTACTCTGATAAATACAGTGATCCAAGACAATTCCAAAGGATTCATGATGCAAATATGCTGTCCACCTCCAGAGAGAGAGCTGATGAACTCTGAGGGCAAATTGAAATATAATTTTCTCACTTTCTTTATTTTTCTTG